GGAGGGCAGGGCCTATCCAAGACATTTTGCTGACTGAGCTGGACAAGATTGTACTTGGTTATCCATTCCATAGTCAAAAGCAGGGCCATTTGGGGCTGATGCTGCTAGTATGGATCTTCAGGATGCAACCCCTGCTCAACGCAGGATCTCCATTGGCTTTCACACTCACATGGACTGGACAGACATTCAAATAGAAGACATCTTCAAATAGGGTGCTGCCTTCTGTAAAGCAAGAGGCATGGCCAACCTTTAACACCTGAGCGTGATGCATAGGTGGACCACATCTGAAGCAATGGAAAGCACAGTTGTCATGATCTGGTTCCTGGGCTGTCTGGGATTGCTCACCTTTGCAACACGTGCTAAAACAAAGAACCACAGATTCCACAGCTACAAGCCAACAAACAAGGCACCCGAGGCAGCTGCCTCACTCTGAACTTTGAAGATTAACATGTTATCAGATTATCAGTCTTTAAAGTGCCACAAGAATTACATGGAACTGAAAAGTTCCGTGTAGCTCAACCTGAGTAAATATACAAAAATTTGTAACTTGTACACCTGCCAATGAAAATTTCTTTTCTCACATACTGCTATCAGTGGACAAAGGGAGAGGGAAAATTCAGAAGAACCTAGGTGAGGCTGTTTGGCTATGGAAGTAAACAGTTCTAGTTCAGACGTAAAATGAAGGCTATGTGTCTAGTTTCTAAATAATACCCTAGCAGAGGCCAAGTTAAAATACTCCCTTCACTTGTTCTAACTTTCTGTAAAGCAAAGTGTAATGCAGCTGACTAGTAGCCCATTATTTATAACAGAGAATACAATAGGCAGATTCAGAACTTCTCTTTGTGGTTCTATAAACCCCATCTTAATTATAGAATCACAGAATCACAGAGTTGGAAGAGACCCCAAGGGGCATTCACTCCAACCCCCTGCCATGCAGGAATACACATTCGAAGCACTCTTGACAGATGGCCCTCCAGATGTTGCTGAACAGTTCTTACTGCCAGGAATTTCTTCCTAATTACAGTTGTCCCTCCCCATTCAAAGACCTTGGGTTCGCGTTCTCACTCTTCGCAGGGAGGGACAACAACTATAGCTAAAATGGGGCACACATGCCATTAGTTTCAATGGGGCTCAGGTTCAGAAGGAATTTACCATTGCTTTCCTCTGAGGTTGAGAGAATGTGACTTGCCTAAGGTCACCTGCTGGGTTTCCATGGTGGAGCAGGGATTTGAACCCTGGTCTCTTGAGCCATACTCCAGTGCTGAAACCACTACACCTCACTGGCTTGTTTGTGTGTGTATTTGTATAGAAGGGATATATAAGATTGTAACAACTTCCACAAATTTCACTGCTGCACAGTTTGGTTGATGTTGTTTTACAATGGAATGTCCATGTTCAGCAAAACAGAAATTATAAATATCTTCAGTATTACTTTGGTATTAAAAACAACAGGAAAATAGCATAAAACAAATGCCCTTGTAAGTGAGGTCACTCACAGTTCTTTAGCCTGGATGCTCTGAAGACTGCCTTTTAGATTGAAAGTCTATGGGCCTTTACAGACTGCCAGAAATAATGCAGCTTGAGTCCACTTTAACTGTCATGGCTCAGTGCTAGGGAATCATGGGAATTGTATTTTTTTCTGGGACATTGAACCTTCTCTTTCAGAGAGCTCTGGTGCCATAATAAACTACAGTTCCCATGATTCCTTAGCACTGAGCCAGGACAGTTAAAGTGGACTCAAGTTGCATTATTTCTGGCAGTCTGTAAAGGCCCTATACCTATATCTTCTTTCTTCACTCTTGACTTTGAGTCCCACAACTAGTTAGAAGCAAGTCTATATGCTAGTAAACCTGCAAAACTCCCTGGCTTTTCTGGAGCTGCATTCCTTTCCCTGGACCAGTGTAAACTGCACAAAAATTTCCAAAAACATGGGATATTACCGATTGAGCATGTTCCAACTGCTAACAGTGAGCATACTTTCAATAATAACAACTGATGCTAATACCACCTGCAGTAGAACTGTGTGTTACAATAACTTGGAACATATGTTTATTTTAAAAAAGCAATACCTTGTTTGTTGGCTTGTAGCTGTGGAATCTGTGGTTCTTTGTTTTAGCATGTGTTGCAAAGGTGAGCAATCCCAGACAGCCCAGGAACCAGATCATGACAACTGTGCTTTCCATTGCTTCAGATGTGGTCCACCTATGCATCGCGCTCAGGTGTTAAAGGTTGGCCATGCCTCCTGCTTTACAGAGTCAGCACCCTATTTGAAGATGTCTTCTATTTGAATGTCTGTCCAGTCCATGTGAGTGTGAAAGCCAATGGAGGTCCTGCATTGAACAGGGGTTGCGTCCTGAGGATCCATACTATGCTTCTACAGTTCTGTGATGCAGTAGTGTGTGAATGTTGGACTAGGACTCCAGGAGACCAGGGTTTGAATCCCTGAACAGCCATGGAAATTTACTGGGTAAATTTTGGGTAAGCCACACTCTCTCAGCCTAAGAGGAAGGCAATGGCAAACCCCCTTTGAATAAATCTTGCAGAGAAAACTCCATAATAGTACTGCCATTAGTCAGAGTCAACTTGAAGGCACATGACAACAAATCAAATCTAGCGTAAAGATGAAGAACCATCAAAAGGGAGACCAGGGCCCTTGAGGTTGCCCATCAGCAGTTACAACCCAGGCCCCGCTCACACTACAGAATTATAGCACTTTTATTCTGTTTTAGCTGTCATGGTTGCATCCTATGGAATCCAGTTCAAGGAGGGCTTTTCAGAATCCTCTGCCAGAGCACTCTAATGCCTCTGATCAAATTATAAATCTCAGAACTCCACAGGATGCAATCATGGCAGTTAATGTGGAATAATAGTACTATAATTGTGTGGTATGAATGGGTCCCTGGGCATCAGACCGAGCAAGCAGTGCCAGGTGCACAGCTCACCTGATCACTGCCTTCTTCATTAGGATGAGATGTATTGTATTTCAACTTATTACAAAATTGATTTCCACATTTACATCTATACATTTAACTTACCACACACGTATTTTAGACAAGGAAGTCATGTACCCTTTTTTGTCCTCTTTTAAAATGATGCATTTCCATTTTTGGGGAGAGACATAAGTGGCTAGGCATGGCAGAGTCCTAGACTGGCATAGATGTATTGTTGTATTTTTCAATGCTTTATTGTGTAAAATACAATAAAATGCAACAAAATTTCCTCTAAACAGAAAAATACACAGAAAAAAAGTAAACTGATTTACAGCCTTTTTTCTTGAAATGCAAAGTTTGTTTCTTTTAAGTTCGCATGGAATATTTTACATGAATTTTACAAAAATGAGATGAACCCTGAGATGGCGTTTAGAGTGTCCCCAAGCCACAGTATAAAGTTCTACCAACAATTCTCATTTTTCAGATTCTACCAACTCCTTATGCTGCAATGGTGATTTAAAGGAGAAAGAGAAGAGAAAAGAAAGATCTCTGGGATAAGAAATAAACTTACCATGTGTTTATGGGAATTAATCATATGAGTTGTTAAATTTTAAAAGGTACTAATGATAAAAGACAAGGGATATGTGTTTGTTGCTTGGAAGTGTTGCGTGGGAGGTTTTTAAAAAAATAATTTGCAGGGTGTGTGAGTTAATACAGAATCAGAGGAATGAGGAAAATGGGATAGATGAAGTAAAGGGGATTTTTTTCCTGCGATCACAAAAGGAGTTGAGCAAATAGGAGAAATGACATGCAATGAAGAGGAGAGGCTTAGCTAAGCAAGAGAACTCTGCTGTAGATGGGATTTCCTTCTCAATTGATCTCCCTTCTTGAACATTGCTCCTCATAGGATATGGCGGCATATAAAATATAGAATGGAGACCGACATTAGGTTACATGTTGTCTGATCCTGAAGAGCTTTTTGTTCTGGTGTTACCTACAGTTTGCTAGCAATATAATTCGGTTTCTTCCCACAATTGGTATCCAAATGGGCAGAGTCCCAGTCCTGCTGTTGATGATCCACATTCTTCAGCAACTCTCCCAAATAAATACGTTCCACCTTCTCTTGCTTGCCACCTCCATGCAAGACCTCCCTCACCTCTCCTCACCTTCCTGCTTATGGGGAGCCAAAGGGGTTCTTGTGGGACAGGAAGGGGACATTACCAGTCAACAGGGAGAGTGGGAAGTGAAGATGGATGTGTGAAGTCATAGGCTTTCATGGCCGGCATCCATAGTTTTTGGGTTTGGCCACACAGCCCAAAAAACCCCACAAAAAACTATGAAGGTGGATGTGTCTGAGTACTGTACTAAAGAAAGCGTTGCTGTCATAAGGACTCTTACTTTTAATAGATGTGAGAGTGGGATATGTGAGGACTGTGATCAGTGGGAAATAGTACATGGCTCCTAATCTCACCATTATTGAATGTTGGCACCACGGGGTCATTGCAAATCAATCTTACTCAGTGCAAATCATCTTACTCAGGCATTCTAAGTTTGTTATTAACATTATGGAGCCACATCAATGTTCATCTCTGAAAGTTTGGTTGCTTACATATGCAAACACTTGAATAAAGATGGCGTTAATGATGCAAATGCATTTGGAACAAATTCAAGTCATGCAGAGTTTTATCCTGAGTCTAAGGTGCTTATCACATTACCTTTTACTTCTAATTTATCCTCCTGGGATGCAGCCGGGATGCAGCATGGAGGCAGGAATTATTGCATTCTAATTCATAAAGCCAAATTACCAGGCGACTGCAGCCTGGGTACCAATCATGCTCAGCCTGCATTTTTTCAAAGTAGGCAAGCTCCGGAATTTTAATGGTGGCCAGCTGAGTACGGCTGGGACCTGGGCTGCAGTCACCTGGTGGTTCAGCGGCAAATTATAATGTGATAACTTCCGCCTCCGTGCTGTGCCCCGGATGCATCCCGGGAGGTTAAATTCAAAGTAAAAGGTAATGCAATAAGCTCCTATCTGGGTCTATTCACATAAGTTAGTCACACTGCTGACAGTGCAAATCATTTCTAAAAACTCAGGAAAAAACCTCTGGTATCCATTATCCCAGGGCTCATTCCGACTATGATTTACATCAATTTGTTGATTGCTTTAAATATGCTTCGACTGTTTCAGATGCAGCTGTGATTGTTTGGACTCTCAGGGGTTATTCAAAAGGTGAAAATAATCTGTGTCGAATCTTTGTTGTTCAGATGTACTTCGAATGCATCCAATTAATTTTTTTTGAGGGGCCTGCCAAAAAACCCACTTGACCTGGGATAATCGATATCAGGTTTCCCCCTGAGTTTTAAAAAAGATTTGCATCATTGGCAGTGTGAACAACTGATGTGAATAGACCAAGGATAAACTGAGATAAAACTCTGTATGCCTTGAATGTGCTTTGAATACATTTCCTCATCTCCATGTGTGAGCACCTGAACTTGCAGAGATGCAGAGATGTGGTTCCGTAGTGTGAATAACAAACCCACAATGTATGAGTGAGATTATTTGCATCATTGTGATAAAAAATGATGTCTGAATGACCCCTCAATTTCAGAGGGAAGTGAAGACAACCCAGAACAAATTTTGCCCCCAAAAGCCCCATGATAGGGTCGCCATAAATCGGAAACAATTTCAAGGCACACAGCAACAAACTATATAGCACAACATTTGATTTTGGGACAGCTGTAGAATTATTCTGCACCTCTGTCATACTAAAACACCCCCATTTCAACATGTGCTTCACAATTGTCAAATCTTCTTTTTTTCTACTTTCTGTTCCATTTAAGTGTATTTTGTCTGTAGGGTGGCAGTTGCAGAGACAACAAATTTTGAATCCTAGTTTTAATGCTCAATGTCACCATGTCCTCACCCTGCCAGAGTAAATCAAAGTAGGCCATTCCTGTTAGGACTCCAGGAGTCATAATGCCAGGTGGAGGGGAAAGGATAGGAGAAACTGGTAAAAAAGGAGGACACCCAGAGTCACCCCATCCTCACATATAACAACAGGCTTGTCCCTTCCCTTGAAAGCAGCACATTGCAGCATGGAAAAACACACACTGACAAAACAACACTGCATCATCTGCTTTCTTTTAAGTTATTGGGAATGAAAAAAAATTGACAGCTGATGTTGGGAAATGCTGCTGCTGAACAAATAGGGACAAGGAATGTGCTGAATGGATTGCCAGAAGGAAAGTATGATGTCCTGTGCACAGACTACAGTCTAGAACAGGGATAAGAGAGCTGCATTGGTTTCCATATCCCTGCCATGGATATGGAATTTTAAAAAAAAATCAGAAA